GACTTAGAAAGCGCGGAGCTTGCGAAGAGTGAAATGTGGGAAGCACTTCAAAGCTCTCTTCATTACTTTTCACTTTTGATGGCACTCACTCACATTTGTGCTTGTTTAACCTGTAACAGTCCTTACTGTGTTGATGCGTTCACAGGTGGAGAAATGCGCCCAGTGTCATACCATCAAAATGGTGTTCCCCCTCCTGATGCAGGCAGCTGGAGACGCAGCCACATGGATTTTTCACAGCAGCAGCAGCAAGGTTGGCAACACATTCACTTTTGTAGATGATCTGATTTGTCTGTTGATGTTGTTCAATTGTTATTTTTATATCATCACTCTGACCTCGGAAACGTTGGTAAACATCGACCAGACTACACAGAGCAGCAACCCAGAAGACAGAACTCTTGAGTGTAACTTCTGTTCACTTTGTCACCTCGTTCAGCAAGGCAGAGTTTCCATAGTTTGCCACAGGGTGTACTTGATGTAAACATTTATTTTCCTTGCCCACATTCAGAAATGTATGTCATCAGCTCAGTAGTGTAGAAAGATTCTGTTTTGGAGCATTACAGATGCATGTGATGTTAATGAAACAGTTGCATAAGTTTCCACTCGGTATTGCTTGTTGATTTGTACTCGGACTACATGTAATTAGCTATGCTTAAGCTTTCATATTCACAGGTGTATGCATTTATGTTACATAGTTATTTTTATTGTCCCATATCTAAAATATTTTCATCTGTTACATGCAAAAAGTAAAAGTAAAAGTAAAGTTTGTCCCACTGTACGCCATGTAGGCGTTTGGGGTGAGAGGAGGTATAGCTCCTCTCTTCCTTGACCTCGGCACTAGATGGGGGTGAGTGGTCAGCATCACGCCCCTGCCTCCCGGCTGAGTGTTCGTTGTTATTATATTGCCAAGTCAGCCGTGGCTGCTTTTGTCCTGATGCTTCTGTTTGTGTTTCTTCCACTTACCCTTGGTCTCCTGTTTATTTTCGATACCTGTAATATTAACGACTCGTATCTTACGCGCTCAGTTCACGGGTAGCTAATCGGAAACTGTCGCCTGTGATCTCGGTCTGTATTGCGTGTTGCATGGCTTTCTAGTGGGGCTTAGGGAGAAATAATTTTAGTAGTTGGTATTTGTGTTTGTGCTTGTATGTGTGTATGTCCATTTGTGCTGTTGTAGAGGTGCCCCCGCCTTTGCCGTCCTCTGCGCCCCCCCACAGGCCCCGTGCCAGCGGTCCTGACCACTGGAGCCAGCAACAACAGCAGCAGCAGCAGCACGGCGTGTACCAGGGTCAGTGTGCAGAGGATAGTTGGAATGCTTTGTTCTTGAACTAATGTCTGAAGTAAAAGCAGAATGCTATTTCTTTGTCTTTGTTAGTTTATTTAATGGGACTGTATCAACTGCAGAGGAATCCTTTAAGTCCTCTACTGTAGTGGAATATTGCCATGACTGCTTCCATCCCTGTTTCATACCCATCGGCACATGTAATTGAGCAGGACATTTGGTGTCACTCAGCGTTGCTTTGTAGATTGTTGCGCTTTCATTTTATGTTGTTTTTCCTGTTTCAGCATGCGTGAATGTGGGGGCGTCATCACAGATCGCACAGACAGTGAGTATCAGATTTGAATATGTATGAATGCAATTCAAAATATCTGTTTTGTTGTGCTGTCATCATGGTTAATCAGTTCCCCCCCCCCC